ATCCTGTAATCTCATCCCTGAAACAAGTAATTGTGTTCCTTTGCCATCATTAGTTTCCAAAATTACAGAAAATGTCTTTGCTAAGATTTGAATCTAGGGCAGATTCTTCACGTTCTTCATCTGTTCCTGTAATATTCTTGGTGGGGCTAGAAGTAAATTCAGGTAAAAACTAAGTACATGTTAGTATCCTGTCAGCAGACAAGCAGAAGTTAGGAGGAGACCAAATTCCGGAAATGCTTGCTACTTCTCAGTTCAAAATATTTTGTCTTCCCGTCTGATTTCTAAGGACCTGAAAATTAAAGTACACAAAACGATAATTTTGCCTGTTGTTTTGTGTGGGTGCGAAACATGGTCTCACACTCTGAGGGAGGAACATAGATTGCAGGTGTTTGAGAACAGGGTGTTGAGGAGGATATTTGGGCCTAGGAGAGAAGATGATGGGGTTTGGAGAAAACTGCATAATGACGAGCTTAAAAATCTGTACTCGTCCCCCAATTTTGTCAGGGTGATTAAGTCGAGAAGAACGAGATGGGCAGGGCTTGTAGCGCTCATGGATAAGACAAGGTGTGCACCGGGTATTGGATGGGAAGCCTGAGGGGAGACCTAGACGTAGATAGGAACTACGAGGAGATAGGAGTTGAAGGAGACTGGATTCTCGTGAGAATAAGGCATTCACATACATATGTAATTCTGCTTCCTAAATCTGGTTTTATAATAGATAGCAGTCTAGCGAAATGGATACAAATCCACAATTACACTTTTCAGGAGGAATGGCAACATGACTTATATATTTGTTATTTAAAATTTCTTGTAATAAACAATATTCAGTGCAATGAATGTACAGTAAAACATTATCACGATCTCCAAATAGTTTGTGAAACCCATTTAGCAAATTAAAATATTATCTTATTGTTGACTGCTGTGTGTTTGTATGATCATGTTTCTATTGAAATAATTTTTTCAGTTATATTTAATATCAACGACAACGACGACGATAACAATAATAATATGTATTATATTAACTTAGCATTTATATAAACATCCGGATTTTCTTATACAAGAAATCTCATTAGAACAAACACCCATTAAACTAAACTAATTAAATATTTACATTTTTGGAAACATGACATTGAACTGATAAGCAAGAGCTATACTGTACATAATTTTACACTAAAATAACTTTTATTAGTGCCACTGAAGTGACACATGACACACCATAAGATATACCGATGTCACAGCAACGCTGACCAACATCACGGGAAAACCAACCCTGCAAAGAAGTATGTCGCCTGAATTAGTTTCATTATTACAGCTTAATGTTGTGCAGAAATGATAGAAAACCTTGTGGCGAAACGGGGAAACTACATAATAAGAGATGGCTGTCTTCTGGCTTGTTGCGCCGGCAGTCGCCCTGATGATTGAGGCAGCAAGGACCTCTGAAACGTCGGTAAACTTCTACCAGACTACACGACAGCCATCTTCATACTCACCGCCGTGAAAACCTCAAATCTCTTCACTTAGTGTGCATATGGTTGGAATATATGGAATACATGATTTCAAATGCCTGCACTAGAGAAGATTAGAAAATTATTGAATTTGCAACCGTTTCTAAGGAGGGATATTCGTATATCTAAATACTAAAGAGATTTGAAAAAAGGTTACTTCTACGGGTAAATTTTGTGAAAGTATTTCAGGTTTCCAAAAAGTTCTCTGAGATGAATCTTTTCTTTCTCCCCAGAAATCATAATTGAATACAAATCATTACATAGACACCACTACACGCCATATAGACGCTTAAGGGGAGAGAAGGTACAGCTCCTACTCATTCTTAACCTCGACACTAGATAGGGTTGAGTGGTCAACATCACGTCCCGCCCGAGCTTTACTCCCGGGAAAGGATCCCGGTACCTACTGGACAGAAGGCTGGGAGGGCCCCAGAGCCAGTCTGGAAGCAGAGGCCAGAGGAAAATTCCTCTGCCCCCGTCGGGGATCGAACCCCGGTCAATCAGTCCGTAGCCAGTCAATATATTGACAGCTACCTCGGCTAAACATTAATTTTGTCCATAATTTTTTTGGAGGTTGTAGGAATTATGATAATCATATTCTGCCTTCTTCAATTTCCTTCTGTTGCAATGTTTCGCTTATCGATTTTTAATTGTCTAAAGGGAGTGACGAGATGTTACGACAAAAGCTCCAGACTCACTTGAAGAACTGCATGAACGTGAACCTGTACCCATGCTGTTCAGCCACTCCGGCACACACCACGTTCGCGGAGGCGCCAATGAGAGTGCCGTTTCCTGTAAACCAAGAACGTCCTTGACTCACTACAAATAAGCCTACTTAAAGAAATTCGTGATGACACTTCGTGGAATGGCAAATTGTTAATTAGCGCAGTGACGTCAGAGATATCTCACGACAGTTTCTCTCTGTAGCCAATGCAACAAAGCTACTTGTAATTTTAAAATAAGGAAATAATCATTTTATGACCAGACAATTTTTATTTTTACACTATCGCCTTAGGTACCATGAGATGAAATATCCGAATTATAAAATATTTAATTTTACGTTATCATCACTTTCTCTAATCGATTGTAGTGCCCCAAAATTACACCCTAATTTTATTGTAGGGGTTGTTAGCCTACGCCCAAATCCCTACAATACAGGACGAAACACTTTTGCTTGTCTGTAAATATTTATTCAACATAAGTTGAATTCATAATGAAACCCGAGAAACATAACTCGAACTGTAAAACTATAAACAACCTCTATTTCCATTTGACACTGACCTCCAAGACATGCTCCGAAGGCCAGTGCCCATACTAGGGGCTGCAGTGGCAAACCGAGCTCCAAATTCAGGTTGGTGACAATTCGAATCATCATGGTGGTGAGTGGGATATTGTCGACGAAGGCTGAGGCGAACGCTGAGACCCACAGGATTAGCAAGATGGCCACGGCCAGCCGAGACTCCTCGTTGACTGCGAGAACGACGGCCTCTGTCTGTCGCCCGATCCAACTGATCAGTCCCAGACGTGACAAGGCCTGCCAAAACAACAGACCTAATCTCAACAAGAATGAGCCTTCGCCCTTCCTAGTAAATGAACGCTCAGCTTTCTTTCTTCCTTCGAACTTTTTTTCCCGGCTAAGCCAAAACAGCAGAGCCTAAACAGGTACATTATTTTTATACAAATTAATTTCCTGACGCTCAAGACCCAAGACGGCGATGGCCCATGTTTGTAAGTTCGAAGGGTCTCTACGCGAAAGGTAACTCTGATTACTGTTCCTAATTTGAGATTTATTTCCACGTTGGAAATTGAATACCTTTGAAGTTTTATTTATATTTGTATAATCAAAAGGAGTTTGTTCCTTGATTGGGGGATTTTCTTTAGACTGTGGTAAACAAAACTACCTTTAATGACATTCGTTATATGACAGAAAAATGGTTTTGCAGATGAAAAATATTGCAACGAAGTACTGAATGACCGATGAGGGCTGGTGTGAAGTTTACCCTTTAATTTCGTTCTGGGTAGAGAAAGATATTCTGACGCCGTCCCACCTCCATGAGAACGAAGAGCGAGGCGAAGAACAACAGCGTCCCCCACTCCACGCGAGCCAGGACACCCTCCATTTCCTCGTCATCCGCCAAGAGAAGCAGGAGCAGTGCGCCGTGCAGAGCTGTCCACCCCAACGACAGGTTCAGATTGGGTACGGAGTGTAGAAAGAACAATATGATCACGAAGGCCAAGGACACCCCAGACTTGGCCAGCAGCGCCTTGTTGCGGATAGGGTACTGCAACCAGCAGAGCATTTTATTAAAGCCTCAATCATCGAACCTTTTTATCGGCTTCTGTACAACTAAATTTCCTTCCTAACAAATAATTAACTCCGTGCCTTCCTAACAGGCTGACACGTCTGAATTATTTCATCGAAAAAATTTAAACCGATGTTTCAGCATCCAGAGGTAAGAAATACATTTAACCTCTAGACCCGACCTGAACCAACAGGCACCAATTAAAATATGTGAGTTTAGAAAACTCACTAAATTACGACATTTTTATTGAGTGATGAGCGATTAAGTAAACAGTGTATTCTGAACGTACATTAAAATCCCACAAACCAGTGCAGTATGATATTTTGACACAGCCAGTCTGAAAAAGTGCTTTCTAAAGTATCAAAACTACAAGAAAAGAAATTTCACTCCCAGACTTCAGAGTACGAAGGAGTGCTAACCACTATACAGTCTAGTTTGCTTATGTATTTATTATTATTTATTTAGTGTTCTGTCTGACGACAGGTCCATATGAACAGGATCCTTCCATCCTTTTCTCGGACTGGGACCTGTTCATATACGTTCTTGGCAGAGGATCCAGAAGTGGTTTGCCATTGCCTTCTTCTGTGTGTGAATGGAGTAATTGCTGGGATGCCACGGAGGAAAACTCCGTGTTGCCTAGACCACGGCCTTGCCCAACACAAGTTATAAATTCGGGCACCGCCGGGAATCGAACCCGAGACCCCAGGATTACAAGGCCAGCGTTCTAACCGCTAGACCATCGTGGCAGTATTTTGCTTATATAGCTCTTATTATTGCTGGTAGAAATTTTAGAATAATTCTTTTGTAATCTGGATCTGTTTCAGGCTGCAACTTAAGGTTGCCTCGAGAGAAAAATTTTAATTCTCTAGACTTCACTTACCCTTGCACGAAGCTCCTCCAAGTTTGCCTTGTATGTATCGACCGCCACGCTACAAGAAACGAGTACATTCAGTTCCATGAAATTACTGGTACTAACACAACTGACATTAATTAACAACTCTGATTTTAATTATAAATATTTCAGACGTTATCCAATACAGACTGCAAAAGATAATATGTGTATTTAGATATTCCTGCAGTGATTTTAATATTCAAGAGACCTAATTTAACAAGTTTTGTCAAAGACCTTTCTAGCAAGAAAGTGTGGTTAAGGTTGTCTAGATATGCTAATGCCAGAAATTGTTAAAATATTTCTGACTTGACTAAATTAAACTGTTCGATACTGTTTTATGAGTATCCTGGAATTAGAATGAATATAGAGGTCGAGGTATCATCAATGCAGTTCTTCTCGCGGAAAAATATAAGGTCTGATTAGTGACAAAAATTTTTATCAAAAACTGATGAGTGACACAGGTCTGTGGAAAATGTCATTCCATACGATACCTTATTACAAGTAGTTCAAACGTTGTCCACGTGGATCAAACAACTCTCAATTTTTGTCAACAGATGTCTCTTAGATTCTCGTTTGTAACAAGTATGATGTGAAATAATAGAAAAAACAGTTGTGCTGTCTTGCAAACCTATGGAAACTATTTACAAAGTAAAAAATTATAGATTTTGGACTTTTACGAAGAACAAGTGAACAGTTTGCACGAACAAAAGCCTTTCTATGTTGGGATGCAAATCAGCTGATACACGTTTTGTAATCGATCGGCACAATCGAGATATAGAATCTTAACCTCAAGTTTGAACAAATTGTATCTGTGACTTACGCAAAACATTTTATAAAATTAAGTGTTTTAAATCGATGGCAGCAAAGACCTCTGAAACGGTGGTAAACTTCTATCAGACTACACGGCACAACAACTCAGAAGACAACCATCTTACAGTTTGCTAAACATTTAAACTCAACACAGGAGTGGGCTGGCTCAATGTGGAAGACGAGACTAGTGTGTGGCGCCTAGGAGGGTGAGTTTCCCCACTTTCTAGAGTTACAGAAACGAATTAGAATAATGTGTGTGCCATATCTTATTAAATACCTTCACTGTTATGCAATAAAACCTAATCGGGCAATCAGACGCGTGATCATTTAACTCGGCTGATGGCTTGAGAGGATTTTACTGAATTAATCGCAGCTTCAAATCATATATTACTATTGTGATTTTAATATGCGATGACAATTTAAGAAGAGATTCTATAAAGAAATGTTCAATGCACCTGCCAGTCACAAGTTTTCGCTTCAGTTCGTGCACAAGACAACGAACTTTCTTCAAAAGCGAGGCTCGAACTGTATCCTCGTCTTTGGAGTAGGATGACAGTGACGCTGCTGCCCTCTGCCAGACTGCTATCTCTTGACGTAACTCTGAAACATTGTGCTGAACCATTAACAAAATTAACACAGGTTCCGTTGAAGTCAAAATGTTAACAAAGTGCCCGTATACTAGTGATGTGCCTGGAGTGCCTGGCGAAAACCATATTTCAATTCAGAAACACGAAACTGTTGCACCATGACAGATAGCGTCAAACATTCCGTAAAGCTGTTAATTAGATTTTAACAGACGTTAATAAAGCCGTGATTAAGATGGCCTTTAACTGTCTCGTGTTGTTACGCTACTGAGTATTACGAAGGTAAGAGGGCAGTTACAACCCTTACGAGGTTCAGCTGTCGAGCCTGGATTATTTCTGGTAGTGAAGGGATTCATCACATGGTGTTGAATGCAAGCGAAAGTACTTCAGAGATGGGCCAGTAATAAATTAGAACAGAGAAACCGAGTGGATTGATCAGTTTCTCATTGGAAAGACTAAAAATTATATCACGTTTACACTGAACCACAAATTCTTGAAGGTACAATGTCTGCTTAAATACTGACCTCTTCTTGAAAATGGTTAGAGAGAAGTGTGGTTAGTTTCGGCTTCCAGAGTTAATTACTAACGTGTGGTTCATGCAAGCTTAGCTGTGGTCACTGTCGTCATCTGAATCTCGTCTGTTCCACTCAGTAATTTCTTGTCCTACGTCCTAATTAAATTTGCATTCAAAAACCTCCTCTCCTGTCGTCGTCTCTTTACAAAGTTGATTATCACGTTCTTGTCATTTAATTAATAATCACGTAATATCGTAGGGAACATCAAATATGGCACTACGAGGAAAATATGAATAAATTCGTTTCCTTCGATTTAAAATTTTGCCATTATCCGTTTCTTCAGTCTTTTGGGTTTTCTGCCGAGAACCGTAACAAAGGTGACGGTTTTAGTGGTCACCACGAAAAGTTCATAAAACATTCCACTGACAATATAATAATGTCTGTTTTTTCTTTCATTATTTTTGTCACATAAGTAGTACTGCCTCTGATCACATAAATTTATTTTGTAAACGTCCTAAAAGAACTTTTTGAGCTGGAGTAACAACAAAACTCTCATTTTTGCTTTTAGAGAATTATAAAAAATCACATCAACAAGATATTATTCACCCTGAACTCTTTTCATAACTTATCTGTGAGGCCTCCATGTGTCTTAATTACTCCGTAACACTTGTCAGGAATAGAGTTCATTACTTTTTAAAATACTCGCGCAAAGCGCTCCATTCAGATCTCCTTTCGTATATCAATTTCTGTTGATATTTAATACTTCGTTTTTCAGTTTTTTTGGTCTTCAGTTGGATGGGTCTGATGTTTTAGTTCTTTACGTCGCTGTTCAGAGGCCAACTGTTATTGGTCAGTCAACTTTCTACGTCCAGCCCCACCCTTGCAAATCTTCGTCTTAAAATCGATCATAAAGTCAGTTTTCGTAATCGTAATATATCGAATGAGTATTATAACTTGAATGAATATTATTATTAGTATCAGTTTACCTTGTTGATGTTGGTACTTAAAATAGTTGATAACGTCTTCTTTCACTTTTGTTCATTCCTTCATTTGTTTTTTTCTGAAAATGCTTGTTTTATTGTTAAACTCAGGTATTTCCCCATCATATTCATCGTGCAATATTCTAAGATGTCTCTAATTTATTCGGCTTAATTCTGTCTGCAGCTGAGATTTCTATATAAATTAAACACTGTGGTCTCCCTTCTCCATCAACTTCAATATTTGTAAAACCAAGAAACTTTACATGGCTTTTTATATACCGTTTCTACACTTGAACCGCAGTCATTGCCTGTACCTGAACCAGATTAATTATCTCGGCTTATAACCACCCAAAAATGTATTCATCACTCCAAAGGTTGCCGACAGTAATAAATTCGGCGTAAACCTAAACTTTATGATATGTACCACATTTATCAGATTACCAAAAACGGGTTCTTATTCGTGAACCAATACTGCAGTGCACAATTTTAGAACAACAGAACTCTCAGATTCTGAGTATTATAATAAATTCAAGGTTACTGAATCATTTCCCCACAAAATTCTGCTCCTCATATTTGGAAATACCACTGACGTAAGTTATAAACCCACTAACCCTGCAGTGACCTCAGTGGGAAAAATTCTCCATGGACGTACCTCTGACGTCTTGTGGCTCCGTAAAGCGGAGCGTGTTGATGTTTCGAAACATGAACCGCAAGAAGACGTGTGTTATGGCCATGACGGCCAAGATGCCCACGCCCATGTGCAGAGTGTACACGCTGAAGTCCACTCCCTGAAACAGTTGAAAGCGGTGTCAACATTTTCTCACTCCCCTGTGATTCTTAACCGTGGGAACTATCTCAAGTTCCAGGTTTCATTACGACTACCAACTAAGCTCAATGCATGTTTTTTTAAGGCCAGGAGACGTCGAATAAGGATGAAGTGTCACCGGATAAAGTCGAAATAATATTTTTTATTGGGCAACAAGCCTACTGATGATAATTTTATAATCATTAAATATGTTTTTATTTTTGTTTACTTTTATGTGAGTAATCTAAAAATATTGGTTAGAATGTAATTTCTTACTATTTTTTAAATCAAAAACTATTTCTTATCTTTTGTAATAACATCTCGTTTATTCGTTGCGGGAAATACTTAAATAGCATAATTTTTGTGTGGATTATGAACATCACGAAGACTTGGTAATAATCTCACAGAGTTTTCGGATCTTATAAGTCCGAAGGCGTTTGTCTCATTCTTCAGCAATAATGGGACAGTGGTGAAAAACCTGCCCAGCTATGGGGGGGGGGGCCTAATTTATTCCTGGGACATACTGTTACGCAACACTTACCTCTGATTTGTTTGTGCAACAATTACCTAAGGTAGTCGTAACATTGTTTAGTAACAATTATCTCTAAAAGAAATAAAACAATTACTTATGGTGATGCTATTGTGGTATTTGTGATATTTTTGAAGTGGTAGTCTATACACAAGAATTCTTAAAAGCAACTTTCTGGAGAATGACCATGTTATGTTGATGAAACATTCAATGTACGTAGATATTTCGTCACTTGAACACATAAGAAAATGATTTTATTAATTAGATTTACATTGACGGATTATTCTACAGGTCCTAAACATTCTATTCATGAGTAGGGGAAGAATATTTTTTGGTGTTACAAACCCAGACACTTCCTTTGTTTTCCCGAGAAATAGTGTTCGATTATAAGTGTAATAAACGTGTTATCCCTCTACTCCCTGAGATTACCTCTGCGTGGTACTTCAATAATATTACAATTTGTTTCAAATACACAAGTTTCTGTTAAGTAACGTGAAGTGGTTGAGAGTGTGATTAAAAAAGTAGTTCCCTGCTCAATTGTGTCCGGAATCCAAGAGTTTGTACACTTACAGAGTCAATCACGTCCTGGTTGGAGGCGATGATGACGTTGGGAGGATCCCCCACAGGGGTGATGCTGCCGCCGATATTGGAGTAGATGACTATGGCCATCAGGACAGGTACCGGGTTCAGTTCCACTACTTCACACAACCTACCCCAAGAACATAGACACAAATTAACTTATTATTTGCGGCACTGGTCATATTTTTACTATGTACTGGTTTTACTTGGATAAAAAACAACTATCAGCAATAAGGTAATGTGAGACTACTTAATGGGGAAGATTAGCCATTATTATGAGCGGATATTTTGTTTCTGATTGAAAAGTATTGCAATTCTGTATAAAGTAATCACCACAGTACTTGTAAATTAATAGCGACCTGAATATATAAGTTAAAACCACATTACCAGTGCATTATTAGTACTTCAGTGACTAGGAAGTAGATATTTCTTTTAATTTTTCGTAATTTGATGTTCATTAGCATTCTGACTTAAATGTTACGTGTCCGAATATGAATGTAAGCAAACAAATTTGCTCTCAAAAACGCGTAATGAACAAACGTATTTATTTTGATTAACTTCGTAATTAATGGTTTATATAACCAGTGTAATATAAGAAAAAATATATTACAGAAAATTAAAATAAACGCTTGGTTCCCTCGTCGATGTAGCACAGATAACAGAGTGGCAATGTTGATGATAATACTGCTTTTTGCTCGTTAACAAACGTCGATGGACTGCGTGTGCTTTACAGAAGAAAAGTTTACATTATTTTTAGAATATCACAGTCTACACATTCTGATGTCCATTTACCCTTGAGTTGTTCTGGGATATCTTGAGAGGTGTTTAGGCACTTGAAAAAAGCGCGCAACTTAAGTTAGAAAATGTCCAAGTGCGGATATCGGGGCTCGCGTGTCTGACCTTTGCCTCAATTCTGTTCTGAAACGGAAATCACTTTGCTGCCATCGAATGCAGACTTTGTCTTCACCTTCGTCTTGCGGCTGATCCTGGCCTCAGGTCTCGGAAAAGTATGATTCATTAATGACATACTGTTACGCAACACTTACCTCTGATTTGTTTGTGCAACAATTACCTAAGGTAGTCGTAACATTGTTTAGTAACAATTATCTCTAAAAGAAATAAAACAATTACTTATGGTGATGCTATTGTGGTATTTGTGATATTTTTGAAGTGGTAGTCTATACACAAGAATTCTTAAAAGCAACTTTCTGGAGAATGACCATGTTATGTTGATGAAACATTCAATGTACGTAGATATTTCGTCACTTGAACACATAAGAAAATGATTTTATTAATTAGATTTACATTGACGGATTATTCTACAGGTCCTAAACATTCTATTCATGAGTAGGGGAAGAATATTTTTTGGTGTTACAAACCCAGACACTTCCTTTGTTTTCCCGAGAAATAGTGTTCGATTATAAGTGTAATAAACGTGTTATCCCTCTACTCCCTGAGATTACCTCTGCGTGGTACTTCAATAATATTACAATTTGTTTCAAATACACAAGTTTCTGTTAAGTAACGTGAAGTGGTTGAGAGTGTGATTAAAAAAGTAGTTCCCTGCTCAATTGTGTCCGGAATCCAAGAGTTTGTACACTTACAGAGTCAATCACGTCCTGGTTGGAGGCGATGATGACGTTGGGAGGATCCCCCACAGGGGTGATGCTGCCGCCGATATTGGAGTAGATGACTATGGCCATCAGGACAGGTACCGGGTTCAGTTCCACTACTTCACACAACCTACCCCAAGAACATAGACACAAATTAACTTATTATTTGCGGCACTGGTCATATTTTTACTATGTACTGGTTTTACTTGGATAAAAAACAACTATCAGCAATAAGGTAATGTGAGACTACTTAATGGGGAAGATTAGCCATTATTATGAGCGGATATTTTGTTTCTGATTGAAAAGTATTGCAATTCTGTATAAAGTAATCACCACAGTACTTGTAAATTAATAGCGACCTGAATATATAAGTTAAAACCACATTACCAGTGCATTATTAGTACTTCAGTGACTAGGAAGTAGATATTTCTTTTAATTTTTCGTAATTTGATGTTCATTAGCATTCTGACTTAAATGTTACGTGTCCGAATATGAATGTAAGCAAACAAATTTGCTCTCAAAAACGCGTAATGAACAAACGTATTTATTTTGATTAACTTCGTAATTAATGGTTTATATAACCAGTGTAATATAAGAAAAAATATATTACAGAAAATTAAAATAAACGCTTGGTTCCCTCGTCGATGTAGCACAGATAACAGAGTGGCAATGTTGATGATAATACTGCTTTTTGCTCGTTAACAAACGTCGATGGACTGCGTGTGCTTTACAGAAGAAAAGTTTACATTATTTTTAGAATATCACAGTCTACACATTCTGATGTCCATTTACCCTTGAGTTGTTCTGGGATATCTTGAGAGGTGTTTAGGCACTTGAAAAAAGCGCGCAACTTAAGTTAGAAAATGTCCAAGTGCGGATATCGGGGCTCGCGTGTCTGACCTTTGCCTCAATTCTGTTCTGAAACGGAAATCACTTTGCTGCCATCGAATGCAGACTTTGTCTTCACCTTCGTCTTGCGGCTGATCCTGGCCTCAGGTCTCGGAAAAGTATGATTCATTAATTCTTACTTTATTCCGACAGACATTTCTTTCCGTAATAGATACGCAGCAAAACTGATTACAATTAATGAAAAGCGGACAAAAGCCACGTACGAAGAAAAATAATGAAATGGCGGACTAGAATTATGACGTAAACTGTACGTTTACAAGTACGCTTCATCTTAAGCTCTTCTTCTTCTTTCTCGGATCTACAATCTGATGAGGGTCTTGGCCGCCTCCTTTCGGAGGTTTTCTGGTATTTGATTTGTACGTTTGTGAGTAGTGAGTGACTCTGCACAATTTCTACTCATCCTGATTTGACTGCCAGAGCCATCTAGCAGTGAATCAGGAGAGATGGGTGAGAAATGGCCGCTGAATTTTGGTTACGAAATAATTCGTTCATATTTTAAGCTCTTAGTGTACACTAAAAATAAATAATGTTATGAGTTGATGCCATAAGGCTCCTCTTCGCTGTAGCACAAGAGCAAACTCGCATATGCAAAAGTTTGCATTTCACAAACAGCTTTTACCGATTCATCGATCTCATTGGAGCAAATTCGCGTTAATGAAATTTACGTAATTGCAGAGATCACTGTATTTATAATTTTTATTCAAAATCAGCGATGTAAGAATTACGATTTAGTATAAGAAGCAGTACGAGAAACATTGTAAAACGTTATAAATAATAGTAAAATATATTTTTTCACTTTTTGACTTCCTGGTTTCAAAATCGGGCGTTATTCTGAATCGGCGCAAATCGAGGGCTCCCTGTACAATGAAAAAAGATACTACTGAAGACATTTATTCTTTAACGTGGTTCCTGTCTCACTCAACAATGTTCTTCCAGCATTGAACAGGATTATAATATTCTACCTCTGAAGAAGTCTCTGGTGTTTTTATGGTAATGATGTACAATGACACCTTCAAATGACCATATTAAACTATTGGGTGGTTCAGTCGTATGTATCACGAAGGAAATCATAATGTGACGTCATACCATCCCTGCGGACCCCGCAGGCTAACGTTTTACTCTGGTTAAGAAAAGAATGTATCCACGACGGCGTGGGGATGTTCTTCAGTGAATGAATCATGTCGCCCAGAATTTAACTCTAGCTCGTTAGTAATATAAATATATTGTGATGGAATCTTTGTTCCTTTATACACAGTTGTGTTGATAAGCTAAGACAGTCCAAGTTTTCATACGGTGTAACCAAGAGAAATCTTGAAGTACTACAGCCAAGATAGTGGATTAAAACACTGGTATGTTGACAGTACCTGATGGTAACTGGAGTCATCAACAAGACAATTGTGACGTTGTCGAGCAGCATGGACAAGAAAGTCGTGATCAGACACAGCGTGTTCACCAGAGGCCACACCCTTCCGTTTGTTATCTGAAAATTACATCACAGAGCTTCATAATCATTTTGCTTGCTTTACTGCATTTCGTATCTGATTATATTCAGCAATAACGTATTCTAAAATCTTTTACCTCAAACTGAATGAAATAATATCGCTCA